AGAAACTCTGTGAAGTAGACGTGAAAGAATGCTGTCAGTCAATTAGCATTGCTCCGTAATTTCTAGTCTAAACCGCAGACAAAACAGCTAATTATCGAGGAAAATAATTAGTCGATTTGGTAGAAACATTATTTGCTCGAAAAAGCACTTCACCTCTGCTAGATCAGCCGAAATCTCTAAGAGCAATTTATCAGCGCCTCTGGGTCACGGGCAGGTCTCATTCAAAACCGTGAAACAACTGAAAACTTCTTGAACACCTCTCTCTAACCCTGGTGCACGACAGCCTATGTTAACTTATCATCACATTTCTTTTTTTGAAAAATTCTGTACATTATAATTAACAAGTTAATTAGTCCCTAAGGGAATAATGGCCTGGATGGAACAAGCGAATTCGATCTTCCTTACTCTGCAGCTGCAGTGTAAAGCTCTCTTGTGTCTGCTGTACAAGAATACAACTTGCAGGCAGGGTACAGTATCGGAGCAGGTGAAATGGAAGTGTCAGCACGAACGGCCTCCTCCCTGGAATATCTTTACTGGACGAACTGTGAGGTAGGGGGAGAGGTGGATAGTTCAAAAACAGGTGTTAAACAGGAAAAAAAAAACTAGAAGAGTCAACTTCAGCGACCAAATACCAGCCACACCTCTCGCTGGGGATCCTCAGCGTAGCCCTGTCTGTGCGTGATGCCGCGTTGCGGATGTCCTGATGCCCTGAACTACACCCGAGAATGTCCCGTTCAAGTCATTCTCGAAATGTTGCCGCAACGCGGATTACCTGACCGGCGCTCCTAGAAACTCTGTGAAGTAGACGTGAAAGAATGCTGTCAGTCAATTAGCATTGCTCCGTAATTTCTAGTCTAAACCGCAGACAAAACAGCTAATTATCGAGGAAAATAATTAGTCGATTTGGTAGAAACATTATTTGCTCGAAAAAGCACTTCACCAGCCTAGATTTCAGGCGAAACAGTGCGTATGGGAGCAATAATCAGCGCCTCTGGGTCACGGGCAGGTCTCACTCAAAACCGTGAAACAACTGAAAACTTCTTGAACCTCTCTCTAACCCTGGTGCACGACAGCCTATGTTAACTTATCATCACATTTCTTTTTTTGAAAAATTCTGTACATTATAATTAACAAGTTAATTAGTCCCTAAGGGAATAATGGCCTGGATGGAACAAGCGAATTCGATCTTCCTTACTCTGCAGCTGCAGTGTAAAGCTCTCTTGTGTCTGCTGTACAAGAATACAACTTGCAGGCAGGGTACAGTATCGGAGCAGGTGAAATGGAAGTGTCAGCACGACGCCCCCTCCCCGCTCCGATCTATCTTGTACTGGACGAACTCCCCCTCCGATCCTCCACTTCGGTACGACCCCCTTTCAAATCTACATACAGGCCATGTCTGATGACAGTGCGGGGCGTCCGGCGATGGCTGCGTGTTCCCGTGCCAAGTCTCTTGTAAGTGCGCTTCTGCCTCTCGATCATCTAATCAAACAGCTACGCCCCGCACTGCTTTCAGGTATGCACTGTATCATCTCATCAACATTCCCCGAAAACTTGCCGAGCGAGGGCAAGGGGGGGGGGCTAGGGTTTGGACCAACGATCGCCCTCAGCAAGAACGGCATATAACGTAAAGATATGGGAAAATCAGCAATAACGAAAAATTACTCCAAGATGAGTTGAGCTTAGCTTGATATCGCCGCAGTCAGTCAAGGCGTTTTCATCTCTGGTTATCTTCCTGAAAAGTCGCTTACCAGATCACGATTTGGTCGAGAGAAACAGAGTAAGCCCAGTCAGCCAACCCTAGCTTTTCCCGACCTTGCAAGATATCAATGATACAGGTTTCTCTGGCGGATGAAGGGCGCGTCAGCGTAGACTTTGGCTGCGCACCAAATCGTTCTTCAGCAGTTGTTTGAGCGGGTAGGCGACAACAGTTGGTGGAAAATACGAGCGATATGTTATAGCCTTGTCGCTTGCTGAAAGAAAAAATGAGAGGAAACGTGTTAGCACCACGCAGAGCCCATCCCCCCTGACACGCCCCATCATCCGCAGCTGACAATCACAATCTCCCTCCCAGCAACCAGATCCAGCTCTCATAATAAGTTTGGCACAACCATGTTGTACCCTACTTGCAAGCGCCTTCTAGGCCAGCTGACTCCACTTTTTTCATCACCCAGACATACAGCACAATGGATTTGCTTTATCTTTTTCCTATAATTGTGTGACCGGAACACTTCAGTGAGGAAAATCAATTTCTTTAGTGCAATTCCTGGAGAAAATTACTCTAGGAGTGGAAGATAAACGCCAGGGATGCCGTTGTTAGCGCGCTGCAAGGCTCCGAATTATGGCGACAAATTCGACGTTTTCAGCGTATGTCAATGATACGGGATGAATTTTGGGCGCCCTTAATTAGACCAGCTTAAACTAATGAAAGGTTAATGAACTGGAGCGGTATTTAGCCACATCAACGTAGCAAGCAAAAATGAAGCCAGGACTCGTCATGGTGATGAAGCAAACTGGTTGTTCACCCCATGACCTCCCGCCTCGTCCCCATACTCCTCGCGCGAGTTGTGACATTCTTCTGTCCTCTAAAATCAGGCTTCGTTCATCTTTTCGCCTTCTCTTCGACTTCCTCGATGATAAAGGCTTTGACTCGGAGAAAAATACTACTCGAAGGTGGTTAGAGCAAGCCAAAGTGACGAAGTCTTGATATCGGTTCCCAATAGGAACCACGTAAGCCGTGCAAGCAACGCATCGCTTTCACGGCGCGTGGATAGATCTCAGCCCCACATTTATACGTTACCAGGCTAGTACGGGGGATCAGAACTCCAGCTGACGGACGAAAGATTGTCTGACTCAGCTACCCTCCCAAATGTGCCAACAATTCAGATATCAGTTGAATGCACGGCGTACACCAGAGGAATTGGACGACGTGAAATCCTCACCCCAACCAAGGCACCCAGCAATCACACGCCCATCATTCCACCAACTTCACAATCACCTCAGTTTTAGCATCACCACTGACACCAACGTCGAAGGCAATTAACGAGTACAACGAAGGCGGAACCTAGGCCACACCCCCTCAGGCTACGCTCCGCCCATTCGCATGCGAAGCGCCTGAACTGGCCAGTTCAACACACGTGATACGCTGTTCGTTGTGCCTTTGAGACTCAGGGATATTAATATCTATTGGCCGAGTTACTACGGCGGTCATCACTGACCACCCTAATTACGCCCTAATTACTACACTATTGATTTTCACGACGAAGTTATGCGTTCTATCCGTTGTTAGCTATTTGTCATTCACTTGATGCACTTTTGAATGGATTCTGGCGGCTAATCGACAAGTTTTGTTAGCCACAAGGTTACTTGGCCCATATGGAGTCGGGTAGGGGCGGCTTTTACTTGCACTCTTGGTGTTCGCAACTTTTGAATTCGCCGTTTTGCTTTTTTTGGGAAAGTTGTGACTTCGGTGCTCATCACTGGTTTCTAAACGAAAGCCAGTTTGACTGATAACTCTTATTTGATATTGATTGATATTGATTTTTGACTGTTGCAACAATAAATCAAGCTTATAGCAGTCAGGGCACGTCCTTTCGCTGACGATGGAGGCAAATTTTACAAAATACAACCTCTCTCTCGAAAATGGCTCCTCTGGTGCGACTTTTCCCAGTCCCCCACCATCTCCTTGAGTTTCCCCAAGTTCCTGCCACTTTTCCGTAATTTTCATTCCAAAGATTCCTCTCCATGTTTCCCCAAAGTTTGCCGCTGAGCGGAGGGCTTTGGGGGGGGGGTAGAGAACACCAACAATTTTTCTTACAATGCGGCCCACCCTGCTCTGAACGCTCTAAATATTCCACCGTACTACCATTTCACTGTAGTTCTTGGTAATGAAATCCGTTGTGCTATAATCAGGTTCCATGCGCTCATTACTGGTTGTTTCAGACGTTTCGTAGTTCTTTATCTTTTTCTTCCTTTATCTTGTGTCGCCACTCAATAAATCGATGAGTTCATGGCACAAGGTATCTAACCTTCTAAGTGATAATAATCAGCTAGTACCTCGGGTAACCAGGTAGTACATTCTCCCCGGGGTAGTACATTCCTGTAGTCTCCAGAACCATTAACGATTTCGAAAAGGGGCCGTATCTGCCAGCTGTCTTGTTGACTTTGTATTGAGTCGCAGATCGAATCTTCTGAGAAGTGCGGTAGAGGTTCTCTCCTCCCGAAAGCTGTTCATTACCTTCGATCAATAAACATTGATTTTTCACTGTTCTGACCTCAGTTAGAAGCAAGCAAGGGAAAGCCATAGAAGCTAAAACTAAGCTGAGGCAAAGCTCCTCGAACTTTTGCAGTTTCTCGATTCTACAGCTTCGTCTCGCGCACAAGGCGTTCCGCCAGTTCTTGTTCGTACATGAGTCTGGTGTTGGATCAATTTGGGCCCAAAGGATGACCAAGCGACATTAAACTATACTATACGATCAAATAATCGATTTTCACTTTCTTTGCCCCAGTTAAAACCTAAGCACAGCGCGTTCCCGCATACTAATGTCCGCAATGTTCACTGCGTTGCCTCCCACTGCTTCTATGATGTTCTGTCAAGTTTCTCGCATGTCAACTCAGCGTGGCAGCCGGTCATAATCTGAATCTTTCACGCTGTGTTCAGCTCAACTGTAGCAGCCGGTCAATAATCGATTTTCATGCTGTTTCGCGCAAACTAGACCCAATTGTTTGATCAATTATCGATTTTCACTTGTCTCAGCTGGAAGCTAAGGCGGCAGCAACTTCCATATTAATGTCCTATTTACTCCTTCCGCTACTCTTCTATGATATTCGCTTTTCAAGTTCTCCACAATCAACCCAGTTGTAGCAGCCGATCAATAATTGATTTTCACGCTGCTTCGTACATTAGGCTCAAATGTTCGATCAATAATCGATTTTTATCTTCCTTCAGACGAGTCTCGTGCCATGTGATGTGGCCTTGGCCGGCGGCGTTCATACTCGCGTTAATGTCCGATATCGTTGGGGCGATCGTCGGCAGTGACTATATGCCAAAACATAAATCCAATTGTTTCAGGTGAGTTTCTTCCAGAACGGATCCCCCTATTACATCTACCGTACTCTCAACTTCGTCTTATAAAGTGCATCCATGAGAACTCTGTTAATTCCCCTCCGAGAATCGACTTATAATAGACTTTCGCAGCTAATTACTAGTTCAGCCTCAAAGAAATTTAGTTACGTTCCCTTTCGACGATCTAAGATAACTCGTCCCTAAGGGACCCAGGTTCACTTCGCCAATGCCCTCTTGTGGAGGAAGAGTGCTTTCGTTTTCATCAAAAATTCATACTCATTTTAAATGGATGAGATTTTTCCGAAAAACATTGACAACTAGTCATGCTCACACTCATGCATTCTCGTCCTCGTCGCACTGCGCTTGCTCAGCTGAGGGCAATGACTGGGTGTAGTGGGGGGAAACCGAGATTGATATACACCATAAAGACGGGGTACTGCTGTTGAACGAGTTTTTCCTGGACAAATTTAATTATAGCCTTTTCAGCTGCGCCTCGTTCGCCTATTTACCCCTATGGAATCAGCTTATGCATCATTACTTTCCACCAAAAAATTTCACCGATCGCTGTTGGCAACCAGACACAGGTAATCGATATATTGATCGAATGGGTGTGGGAAATCCTTGTGCCAGACAATCACGACAAAGGATTTTTATAAATAGTGAAAGCAGCTCCATAGGAGCAGGGGTTACCGTAGGACCTACATGAAACCAATCAATTATCGATCGATTCAGGTATCGGTACCGTACCGTGCACATCGGCCTGTTTCACGCTTGTCGAGCGTATCGATCAGCAGGATTGTGAGTTTTTGCTGATAATCACTTATGAAGTAGCTATCAACAATACTTGTTTATCATCCCATAATTTGGCTTTTCCTAATTATCTCGTCGATTTCATTTGATGTCAATAGCTCGGCGGCTGTAACAATTTATTACTGCTGCAAAGCACTGCCTGAGTTAAAAGACAGGCGTTTAGTTGTTTTTTTGAGATGCGAAAACCGATAGTAATGCACTATGTGCTTCATACGATAAATGAGTTTCCACTAAGCCCCCTTTGGGAATCCTTATTTTATCATTTATTTTTAGACATGCTTATAGGGCACATTATCGAAGGTGAACCACCACTGAGAGGGGAGGGGGGGGGGGGCATATGTTCCCTATTCGTGATCGCACGCCTTGCATAGTGGAAAAGTGCACATCGAAGGACCAATGCCCATGACCGAAGCTGGACCTAGTGTCACACTACTTCACCACCCATAGGAACGCAGGTAATCACTCACTAGTGGTTCCTTTGGAGTCGGGCATACATGGGGCAATTTCTCTTATAACCTTCTTTTTCCAGTAAGCTTTTCGAGAGCTCCAAGCTTCTCACACGGGTTCCACCTAAAATTATCGCAGACTGCCAGGCTAATAAACTTTTTGGCGGCTTGAATAACTGGATCCGAGTAATTGTCGCATTTTTGGGCGGAATTAGGATAATGTAACGCTAAGCGGATGGCCGCTTATGACCCTCCGTCGCTCAGGTCAGGCACATGCTCCACCTGAGGGGACGGTCACCTCCCTTGAACACCCTCATTCACCCCCGATTCCTATCTGTTATCGAATCGGGCAATGCGACAGGGTGCCATCTCGCTCGTTGGGCATCAGCTAGGCTTCGGGTCATTATATCGACCAGATCTTCTTCGCTATTAGATTCTGAAAAGAAGTAGAGTGCGTGGCTCATTCTGGACCCACCAGTGGGATTGATCAAGTCGAAAGTTTATGATGCAGACCACATAACGGTGAGCATACTCCGTAGATCAGCCCAGTGCCGAAATCTGTTTGAGCTTTTTGCCTTATAAAACATCCCGGACCGCCGTTGTTCGAGGTTCTCCGCATAATTTCGTTATTTTTCAAAATTCATCTGTTTCCTTCAATTTTCTATGAAATATGTGTATTCTACCTGAAAACGTGTTCTGATAACATCGGAGCATGAATAAGATGCCAAATGGACCGTATGAAACGGCGCAGAGAGAAAAAAGTATGACACACCATGTGTGTCACGCGGTCCGGAACGTGTTAAACTGGAACTGAAACTGGCTTCAGAAAGCATGGGTTCGACCCTTCCTAGAAACTGCACCAATCCATCTCTCCGAGAAGTGTTTCACCAGCTCTTTTCCAATCAATCTCTCTTCGTTCACACGAGGACCACAAAACAATAGACACTTCAATTGCACTAGACACACAGTGGAATAACCTCTTGAAATCCTTCTTTAAAGTTCTTGTTATGGACTTATTGACCCATTTGGAAAAACATATTTGGAAATTCGTTGTTATCCAGCCACAAAAATTATACCATCGAAGGTAGAGGCAGTTCTTCAAAAA